CTCACTAATGCCTAGGATATCAATCTTTATGCATTCCATTTCATTTTTGACAACTTCCAATTTTTCTAGATTCATATTTTGTACATTCCATGTTCCGATGATTAATGGATGTTTGCAGCTGTTTCTCCTCAATTTGCATGGTGCCACATCAGCAAATGGTGGTCTCAAAAGCTTTACCTTATCCATATGATTAAGGCTGGGTTTACTCTGATGATGCAGCTCTTTCCGAGTCCTATTTTTAGAGCCTTCTAACCTAAGTGACTTATCTTCCTCATCTTTATTGGACAATGTTACCAGACTAGTCAAAAATTTGTGTATTAATGTATCTATATTAGAACCATGATGATTCTTTAAAATGCAAATTTATCACGTTATTCTTCTGCTTAAAATCTCTAGATAACTCCTTACCACCATTAGGATATAGACTAAAATATGCAATACTTTAAAATATGGCTCTTCTTGGTTGGCTCTTGGCTATTTCTTCTATCATTAATCAATTTGCTCTCTAAGATTCAGCACCACTGGCTTTTGATCGGTTTTTCAAACACACCATGCTTATACCAGAGCCCTTCTTTCCTTCCCTGATCAATCTGATGAACTCGTTCTCATCCTTCATATCTTCCTAACATCACTTCCTCTGATCCCTCAGATTATGTCACACTTAATAGCATTTCTATAATTTGTAATTTTCATATTTATTTTGTGATGACTTAAAGTTAAGATTTTCCATGTCTTAAAGAACATAAGATGCAGGAGATCAGGAGTAGTGTGCTGTTTCTAATTGTTGCATCTCAAAAACCTAAAACAGTGCCTGGAACATCATAAATTATCTACAGATATCAACTGAATGAATGAATTAGTGATTTTAATTAATATTAAATTTTTAGAACATCTAGTAAAATTCTGTTATCACTCATGAGTATCCTATTACAGAGTTTGAGTGTGTACACATTTAAAAAAATAATAATACCTAAAGGTCAAATATATTTGTTTGCAATTAAATCCAAGCCCATGATTTAATCATAATATCCAAGATAATGTCCATTTGTCTAAATTGAGGAGATTGATGATGACTCATATCTGAATAAAAATCACCTTATGCTTGCTTGACATGAGCCAAGATTTTCCCTAGAAAATAATTTTGAGATCATTTCTACTTATTTTGAAAGCCCTAATTCACTGTACTTTTTGAGGCTCCCTAGTTCCATTCATTCAACAATTGCACAAAAGTTCTGGGAAAGTTACATAAAAGATAGAGATAAAGGGAATCTGTCACCTTCTCTATTCCCAAATATATGCATCCTAAGAGTAGAAAATATATAGATTACACCTCAACATAAAGAAAATGAAAATCTTCACAACTGGACCAATAAGCAGCATCACAATAAATGGAGAAAAGATTGAAGTCATCAAAAATTTCATATTATTTGAATCCACAATTAACACCCATGAAAGCAACAGTCAAGAAATCAGACGTTGCACTGGGAAAATCTGCTGCAAAAGACCTTTTTAAAGGGTTGAAGAGCAAAGATGTCTCTTCGGAGACTAACATGCACCTAATCCAAGCCATGGTATTTTCAAACACCTCATATAAGTGTGAAAGAAAACTGGACAATGAATAAGGAAGACTGAAGGAGAGTTGATGCTTCTGAATTGTGGTGTTGGTGAAGAATCCTGAAAATCTCATGGACTGCCAGAAGAATGAACAAATCTGTCCTGGAAGAAATGCAGCCAGAGTACTCCTTGGAAATAAGAATGGGCAGACTTCGTCTCTTCTATTTTGGTCATGTTGTCAGAAGGCACCATTCCCTAGAGAAGGATTATCATGCTTGGTAAAGTGGAAGGTCAACAAAAAAGGGCAACACCCTCAATGAGATGGATTGATGCAGTGGCTGCAATGATGGGCTCAAATTTAGCAAGGATTGTGAGGATGGATCATGACTGGGTGGTGTTTCTTTCTGTTGTACATAGGGTCACTATGAGTCAGCGCCAACTCAGTGTCAGCTAACAGTGATGACAAGAGAACAAAATAGTTGTTAGTCTGCAAAAGAGAATAACTGTGATACAATATATAATGGTAACTGTAGTAAAAGCCATGGTAAAAACAATGGTAAAATTTCCCTGAGATCTAGCATCCACACCTGTGTCAAGACATCACAAGACTCAAAGTTTCAGCCAGTGAAGCCATTTTAGAGTCAGACATTATATTATTTATGTATAAAAAGTGAAAGCAAGAGTAGTCAAAGGTGCCAGATCCCCATGTCCTTTGTGCAAGGCAACACTGAACCAAAAGGAGTTTGATGACTATAGCATGGATGCTGAGAAGGCAAATTAGTGTTGGAACTAAGCAATTTTATTCTGCATAGCTGTAGGTGTCCCTGGGTGGCATGTACGGTTAAGCTCTTTACTACTAGGTGAAAGGTTGGCAGTTCAAATCCACCCAAAGATGTCTTAGAAGATAGGCCTGCCAATCTACTTCAGGGCAGTCCCACCTTTAGAAACCTTGTGGAACAGTTCTATTCTGCACACAGGGGGTTTCCATGAATCAGAATCTATCCCATGCCAACTGTAACCTAAAGGGGGTGGGGGAGCAAACTTCATACCCCATCAGAATCCAGGAGCAACTGGTGAAACTGTCTTGTGATAGTCTCTCAGGTGAGATAATGAGAAATGTGGCAAATGAAAAATGGCCTTTTGATTGCTATTCATGAGCCTACATTCTCTCTTCTGTTCAGGAAAATAACTTTCGCCAACACTTTTAGGAGCTACAGTTACGCTATGGAGCAGCTTGCAGCCTCTGAGCCCTGGCTTCCTTAGCTCTGACAGCTGCCATTGGCTTGTGCCCCACCTGCCACCCTTTAGGGAAGATATTGGGCTGCAGCACTCTGCTCCATCCCTCTAGGCTTTCCATTCCAACCAGGTCCACCTAGAGGCAGCCAATTTCAAGTGCACTTTTACAAACCCCAAGGCTCTAGGTGCTAACAGAGAGCTAAGTACTTTGATATATGTGTATCAAATATATACAGATATATATACTATATAAAATATTTGGCCAATGTCCAAATCATATAATGTCTTATTTCACAGAACATATCATGGACATTAAGTGATATGTGGCTATATTTGGATTTGAGCTTTGAATGTTATTTTCAAAATGGTTTTACTTATTTTTTGAATTCTTACTCTTCTTCTCCATGTTACCAAAAACCGATGACTTAAGAATTTACCTAAAGAGTAGCACAAGATGTCATATGAATTTCACACAAAAAATACACATGTGATTTTTCTGTGACTAGCTGTTAGAAAATACAATGTTTGGTAGATTATACATATATTTGGAAGTTAACTTTGTATTTTATAGACAAGATCAAGATGTCTTAACTGGTGATGATAATTAGATTGTAGGCATCCTGATATCTGCAAAATCTTTAATTTTATTTTATAGAAGTGAATACCTTACATGATTTAAGCGCTTGTTGATTGTATTTTTAAAATGAATATTTTCTCTTTTGTCTTTTGTTAAATAGGAGTGAAATTACCATCACTGTGCAATTTGCCAGCCGTTTTCTCCGTCCTGCTGAAGCTTCACTATTACTAATTTCAAAACCAAAGAATACATTTGGAGGCACTACACTGGCTTTTAGTCTACGTGGTGAAGTCGTCTATTTTAAAGCTTTTGTAAGGAAATTTTACCTATTTGTATGGATTTTCTGCTTTTCTCAGGCCTTGGGGTGTCAAAAACTCAGTTATTGTCCAAATTTTATCTCCAGGTAGCTCGCGTTCCTTGAGATCATGTGTGTGTATAGACACCATAGGTGCACATATTTAAATGCACATGGTTCTTGATTTCTCTCCACCACAGTATTGCCCTAATATGCTTCCTTGGAAATAAGTCTTTAGTATTATGACAGAAGTTGAAACAAATTGTGTGTGGTGCTACTAAAGTAGTCAGCATTTTCAAATTATGTATTTTTTTCTTTCCATGAAGCCATCATTCACAGAAAGGAAGTTCAAATGCCTTTCTGCCATGGGGACTGTGACTTAAGTTAAAGGACTCCCTAAGCTTGTGTCTCATATCTTTTAAAAAATTTGGATTAAGGGTTGTTACCTTGTGCAGCAAAGAAAACTTTTCTATTTCTGGCAGGAACATTTATCAATTTATCTTGAATGTCCCTCCTGTGGAGCAAATCCATTATACAGATAATGTCAAGGCTGGCATTTATTGAAAGGCTCTGATGTTCCAGAAAGAGTTCTCAGTGTTTATTTATCAAAGTGTGGCAAAAAGGATTTTGAAATCTTTGTAAGATGAGTGTGGTATTATTATGATTGATGTATTGTAGACATTATTGTGTCTAAATACTTTTGTTTCTATCATGGATACATAACAAGTAAATTTATTATGTTGACAGATTCTCATAAGGATAATTAAGAACTCTAGGTGGGTAGGGACAAGAGTGATGATTGGAGGGTTGAGTGGTGGCCAGATGTGTGAGAAGAGAATCACAATGCTGTCATGATGTTCACATTGACCTTGTGGCTTATTCAATAATGACACCCAGGAAGGGCAGTGGAAATTCCATTGTCATTGGGATGTGTGTGTGATCTCCTGATTGTCTTCTGAATGATTTGTGTGAGAAATTTGAGTTCATTAGCACTTCTTAACCTTCTCACGCAAATGCTTTGAAACAAAACACAACTTTGCTGCATGTGGCTAAGAGAAATGGCTTTCATTAATGTAGTTCTGGAGAAAACCTGACTCATGAAGCTCCTGTGGTTCCTCTTTATTTCCCCCATCTGCCCTCTGACAATATTGTTAAAAGGAGGTGGATTGGATAATAATGGAGAAATAAAATAAGGCACGAATATGATCAGTCTAAAAATGTAGAAATCCTTTTTCTGTCTACAATCCTTTTTCTTCCTGGATATCTACTGGGTAATTAGAAGAGCAGGCAGCCCACACTCATAAGCACTGAATTTTCTCTTACTCTCTCTACTGCCCCTTTCTTATATTATGTATATTAGATATGTGATTGATTAATTTTTAAATGCTTACGTTCAGTCGTACAAAAAGCAAAAGGTCAATTTTAGGGAGATCAACTTGTAAAAACATTTTTTGACAAGTAGTTTAGTTGTTAGCAAAGTACTACAGATGAGTGATCAGGTTAAACATATTTTTATCCTTTCCCACCCAGATTTTAGGAGCTCTGGCGGGGTAGTGGATAAGGTATTTGACTGCTAACCAGAAGGCTAGCGGTTCAAACCCACCAGCTGCTCTGCAGAAGGAAGATGGGGTGGGAAAAGGGGAATTATATAAATTATTATCAGTGTAATATTTAAATGGAAATTTCACACCTTTTTAAGTTTATATTTTCTATTTCAGTGTATTCATTTTATTATTATAATGTAATTTTTTCTTTACTTTAGGATATCATAAAATGCAAATCCCCATGTTATACATGGACCAAAGTCACTGTGAATGTTAAAAACCACTTCCACACTGCAGGGGACTTCAGGTAATTGATTGTTTGGGTGTAAATTCATGGCAATTAGCCACCTTTTATATATAACAGAAATACATATTTTTTTCATCTCTTTAACCTCAGAATAATTCTGAGGAGAAATGATATGTACTGACATTCTTTTAAATATAAGCATAATTAGATAAAAATGAACAAATTATGAAAGTGAACAATTTTACTTGAAATGCTGTTTGATCTGTGTAAAGCTAACTGATCTCATCAAATGTATAAATTGTGTCTGTAAACTTTTTGTTTGCTAATATTCAGTGCTCTTTTGTTACTTTAAGTTAATAATAGCTTTTATTGTTTCTAATTTGATTCCATATTTTAGAATCTAAAACTGAGCTATTGATTCATACAGAAAATGCACTGTTACTCAGGGCATCATAGTTACTTAAACTGTACATTCCATGTACATGTGTCCATCTTGAAATAATAATAAAAAAAAGATTGGAGATGAAAAATTTAAAGGAAGAACATTTTCTGGTTACATGAATTTTTGTGCAGTAGATTTTTAAATTCTACTGCACAAGAGTTCATATGGTCACAAATAGTCGATAAGGCGTTTGGCTACTAACCAGAATTAAGCAGTTCAAACCTACCAGCTACTCCGCGGAAGAAAGATGGGGCGATCTACTTCCATAAAGATTTACAGCCTTGGAAACCCAATGGAGGTAGCTGTGAGTAGAAATTGACT